GCTTTTAAAGAAGGGTCTCTTTTCTAAGTGCCCTTAACCTTTTGTATGCTGTTGGCTTGGCTTTATACTCCTTTGGTACAAAACTATAACTTGTACAGACACCACTTGCTCTATCAGCTACTGGATCAGTGGCAAGGTATTTAGTTCTCATCCCTGTGCAGGTAGAATATTAATTCTGTTGGTGAAGGTATTCAGAAAAGCCAAATAATTTTTGATTTAGAAGGGATTGCTGTAACACTTATGCATGTGCTCTGATGTTGAAAAATGTCCATGACTAGWAATGCCTTAGCTGAGTCTTCCTTTACTGAAGACAAAATGGTTTAAGATGTTTGCTTGCTGTAAGCTACTTTCTACATTTAGAGTTTTAATGTTCTAGGTGGACTATTCAGATATAAGTGCTGTTGCAACTAAAGTAAATGTGAGTTATATACCACTTAACTAACCAAAAATCCGCCTGTTTTATTAAAGAAGGTAATCAAGATCTTCTTGAACTGTCTGAGCAGTGAACACTTGCTTTTTTCCTGGGTAGATGTCTTCAACTCTATACCAGTAAAATTATTAGGAAAATGTTTGTTATTAAAGAAATAGGTTAAAAGCTTCCTAATTTGCTTAATTGACTTTATAAACAAATGATTTACAGAGTTATGCATGTTCTGATCTAAGGCAATGTAGTTTATGTCAGTCCTATGTAGGCCAGTTTCCAAGAAATAGAACTAATTTAAATGTTTTTCTCTAAAGGGCATAAAACTGGAAGCAGAGGCAGCTCAGAACTTCCAGTAACATAGTTAAAACCGAATTTTGCCATTCTAAAGGTGAGAGCCTTGGTCTAGAGTGTTTCAAGCTCCATGAGCTCAGAAAAGAGCAGTGGACAGCAATGTCTGTGGTGAGTACCTGTTGTTGTTCCTCCTGCTCTGCTAAACTTTTACCATGAAAGCAGCAGCAGGAACAGCAGTAAGGGCTTTCCAGGGCTCAGAGCAGCCAAGGCAATAGTGGTGCAATGGATATTCTGCTGCTGCCTTTCTATTGCCATAGGAARCAGGGCAGTGCCTTATAGAAAGCAGCCCTCTAAAAAAGTTTTCTTTCATTGCTTCTGAATTTATTTGCTAAAAAAGTAGACATGGCAGTGATGGGTAATGCAGGTGATGCAGCAGCTTTCAGTTACGTACTAATGCCACCTGATACAAGAAAAGGAACCTGTCTCTTCTTCAGTGCCTTAACCCKACCTCTACAGAAGCATAAAATATAAAAATTTTATTTTCTGGTCTTCTTTTCCCTGCAGAGAAATAATTCTTCCTGATTTGGGGCTTTAGGCTTTTATTTCTTGAAGGTCTGAGATGGATATGTTTTGGGCAAAGAGGAAACTATTCTGGTACTGTTTAGGTGCTATTAAAATGTGGTTTAAAATTAAGTTGTCTTAATTTGGTCTATTAAGGTTGGATTTATAACTGTCACCCTRCTTGTGAAACTCCATTTATTAATATTTTTAATACTGATTTGATACTTCAAGTGGATATATTGTGGTAATTAAGTGTAATGGGGCTTTAATATATCCAGAATATCTTCAAAGGACATTGAATATTACTCACATCTCAATCAGTGAATATTACTYACATCCAAATCCATTTAACAATGAGGGGAATCCACTATATCATTACAGTAATTGGAGAAAGTAAGGGGTGAGATTTTGAACCTATTGTACCACAAAGGTCAAAAMTGTCAAACACCTGTGATCACATCTTCAGTTGACATAAATTACATAATTAGTTTTTTTCCAGTATCATATCTTTGTTAATTGTGTAAATGCATAATAGAATCAAGGACTCAATTCTCCTGGGATCTCACATTGCCAGTTACTATAACTTTATAGCTGCTTCTTTCTAAGAATTTATAAAATGGATTTGAGTATCAGTAGCATTATCTACTTCTCTTTTGAAAGTAGTTTCAAAATAGTTAAGGCTACAGTATGTTTCAGGAAAATGATTATATCTGTTTCTGATATTCACTTATAATGACACAGTACTATACTTACAATTACACAGTATTATACATTTTGTTCTATACAATGTAGCCATCTTAATACTGTACTATTTGTTATTTTAGTATGCAGCTAAATGCTTGTTTTCTCTAATTCTGATTTCAGGTGTGTTTTGTCCTAAGATTGACCTGTAAGGTATTAAGTGTTTGACACCACTTGTTTGTGTAGTGTACTAATATAGGGTTCAACATGAGGCTGACTCTAAAGCTAAAAGAATCTTGTAAAATAAAGTTCAGGAGTGTATAAATTGCTTTAAAACAATAATAAAAATACTTGATTTTTTTTCCATTCAAAGCCTATCACTTCAATTATCCAATCATGTTATTTCYAGTGGCCACCCTTCATACTGTCACTCAACAAGAGGAGCTGAATGGTGACACAGATTTAGGATCCCTAGTGACATTAAAAGGMATGACATTTAATGAACTTAAAAACCARTTCTTAATGTAAGYATCCACATTACTGAATGGTTCATATGAAAAATGGACYAYAAATAATAATTGCATTTCTTATCAKAARTGCTAGAACTCCCTTAWAAATGCTATATAAATACGTGCCTGTATCACGATGCATGCAGTTAACTTTAGACAATAAGGTGGTTGTATGTGGTAATTTAAAAGTAACTTATTTTGAAAGTTCAAGGACTGAAAATAAYTGAAAACTAGAGTTATGCTTCAAATATTATTTTAATTCTGCCTTCTTACATGTGGAAATTGACAGGCATTGCTGTCAAGRGGCTGCAGTTTCATTCATAGCCTTTATTTATCCAATACTTCTCTGCAGCATAGAAATAATTTCTCATATAGGCTAASGAAATGTCATTTGTACAGAGCTAATGAGAACCATAGTTCAAATTATCATACAAGATAGATCAAAACAAGTGAACCTATGGAACTCCAGAGAAGCAACAGAAAATTAATAGAAAGTAATGTATTGCAAAATAATAAAGAGAATATTAAAAAATATCATTTGTTACTTTCAACTAGACTTCTAAAGATTTTTCATAAGACCATCAAAAGGCAATTCTGAAAGSCAAAATTAATTCCAGATTCCCATTCTTCTTTATGAAAAAGCAGCAGAGCTCTTGAAAGGTTAGAAAAAATTGTGTAATAAAGTGCTTGTTCTTTCTCAAACTTGGCTCTGAAAACAATTCATGCCATTTTTCCTTAAAATTCACTATCACATATATAATGAGAAGTGAGAATGCTGCCTTAACAATTATCCTTAAAGACATAAGGGTAATTTACCAGGGAGGAAACTGTAATACATCCTGGGAGGTCCAGTCAGAATCAGAATGSTTTGGGTTGGAACGGATCRCAAAGATCATCTCGTTTCAACCCCCTGCCATGGACAGGAAYGCCTCYCACTAGACCAGGCTGCTCAGAGCCCCATCCAATCTGGCYTTGTGTAGGCTCTGAATCCAGCTAAGAACCCCAATCCCATGTCCCATTAGGCATTCACCCAGCTACGGAAGACAGCTGAATCTCAAATCCGGAAGAACCTAATCTTTCTCATCCATTTGTTAATCCAAAATACTCTACAGCTATCTACGACCTTATCAAAAATTGCCAATTTAAATTTCCAGGTGGAGTATTGAAAAGTGTAAACTAGAATTTCCACTAAATGACATCCGTAATTATTTCAAATMCTAGTTTCAAATTCATATTAAACCCAGATAAAGTTAAAAGACTTATTGGTAATTTATACAACTGGAAGATCAGAACCAAGTGATACATTTCAATGCAGAAAATATGCCACTGTACAAATGTAATATATGCACATATAGACAATTTTAATCCATTAATTAATTCAAATTTTATGATCTTAYCCTATGAATACCTGTGTTATAATGCAGTTATGATGTCAATGTTATATAGATGCAAAATGCATCTTTTAAAATTACTGTTTCTTTAATTTTAAAATCCAGTTTGAAACCACARGGCACTAGTTATAAAACCATGCATTAAAATGTTTCATTTAAAACACATGTAAATAAAAGTCTTTAGGATCTTTAAGGGCTGAAATAGTGAAGAATATTTTTTSTAAATTATATGACTTAGTGTTTTATTTAGTAACAGAAACACTTTATGTTTCTGATGAGAAAAGAAAGAAGTCAGATATCCTATCAGGTATGCACCTGTGTACCATCCACAGAGACARATACATGCTTACAAAAGTCTTTGATGATTTTCTAAGATAAGATAATATCAGTGAAATGTATTTAAAAAGGGCTCAGTTCTGTTTATTCAAGCATGTCCTGACTTGAATTATATTAGTAAACAGAAATTTCATTAGAAAAAGCACTTCTTTATGGCTTTGTTTAATTAAAATGGAAAATCAAAACACTGGGACAGGATAACTTTATACCAGATAAAAGAATTGCTGAGGAGCCTTTTTATACTTTGACAAACCCAGATGAAATTTAATATCTCAGAAATGGTCTGTGACATAATTGGAATAATTTTGAGCCTCTGCTATTAATGAATATTATATGAAAACCTTAAGGCTCAATTTAACTGACATAATCTCTCCCTGCAAAGTCATATTATGAAGCCTGCATATCACAGGGAGTATTTTCTGTAAAAATATGAAGTAAGGATTGGATAATATAAAAATAGCAACTAGTCCATCAAGGAGGAGAACAGTTTATAAAAAGTCTTCCCTCACAAATTCTTTTGCTAGCTATAGTAGCTATGAGAAATGGAGATCTGCCGTGAAATGCCCAAGGCCACACTTCGTGCAAAAGCTAGGAGCTACATCATCCTTAATGAGAGATACACTTTTTCTTGAYGGAGGTGAGACCTGAGAGCAAGGTTTTTGTCGAAGAACAAAAAAGGAGTTGTATTTTTTCCTGAAGAGAGCTATTCATTGACAAAAGAGCACTAATTAGACAAACAAGGACGCCCAGAGAACAGCCAGTGCACTTGTAAGGGGCTGCAGTTAGAAGTTACCGGTGCTGTCCTACCTTGTACACMATGATAGGGATGTCAATGACAATGTAGATAAGGTCTCCCAGGGCCAGGCTGGCTATCAGTGCGTTCGGGCCGTTCCTCATACACTTATTCTGGTAAATGATCCTCAGCAGAGTTGCATTCCCAACCATCCCAACAATGAAAATAGCACAAGATACCACGGTGTTAATGTATTTAAAAGTGTCAGCAATCCTGGTCTGCTGGGAGCATTTGACAGTTTGGTTGGACACCGGGGGCTGTATGGTGGTGAGCAGAATGCTGGACTCAATCCCTGAGAATGTGGAAAGGGGGTTTCCCGAGTCACTCCGATTGGAAACGTCTCTGTCAGAGCTGTCACTCAGGACAAATCCTGGGACCAGAAGCAGCAAGGAAACTCTTAAACACAAGGCTTCCATCCTGAAGTCCCCCAGGAGCGAATTCAGTAAGACAAGGGCTTAGKTTTTTTCTTCAGTATTTCAGTGAGATACTTCTCACTTTTGCACCTGTACAGAGAAACTGTAAGCAAAAAAAGAAAAGGAAAAAGAGGCACATGATCAGTACAACAGGTRGTCTAACACATCCTGTTTCTCACTTAGAAAGGGCATTTGAATGTTCAGCCTCTGCAGCACATATGTATAAACWCCTGTTTATACTCATTGTGCTGCTCTGAAATCCAGATTACCCTTATTACCTGTCTGACAAAAGGCAAACACAGAAAACTCCTGAAAATAAGTGATGCCTTATGCAAATAAGATCCCACAAAATSCTGTTAGCTTAAGACAGAATTTGTATATGGATGGGAAAAATAAGGTGGATAAAATTCTGTTTTAAAAGTCTTGCAGGAAAAGTTGACCTGCCTTGGAGACTGCTGAGTGGTAGTTTAGCCAAAATAAGAAGTAATTATTTTTTCTTTGAAAAAGAAAGGTAACAACATAGCTTTAAAAATGAAAGGTAGCAAATTAATCAATTTTCTGAGTATTTTTCAATATATTGYAGCAATTAGTCTTTGTATTATGTTTGTCTGACTTATTACCTGTATTTCAAATGAAGACTGAGARGACATGTATTTCAAATCAAAATTTGGACCATATCCAAAATTTGTGAGTATTAGAAAGAAGATTTCACAGTACTAGGTTAGACCTCTGGCCAGGAAAAACTCTTCAAACTTTGTCATTTAGTCCTGAATGTAATTGCAACGCATGCTCAGTTCTTAGCCACAGTGAAGTTAATAATAAAAAATTCAGTTCTTTTAAAAATGAAAGATACTTTTTTAGTATTCTAAGCAACAACTCATGACATTTCCAGGTAGGACAGAAAGCATCACAGAGCCTGTCTCAGTAAGTGGGACTGCCTGTGTGCAACCCCTGCCATGGAGGTATTGATACTAAATCTCCAGTGAAACCAGGAATGCCACTTAAATCCATTATATTGAAGCCTTGGTTTAAGATGAAGTTKTTTTTTTTTTTGGTTTTTTTTTTTTTAATGTGGCTTATATCTGTAAAACAAGACAAAATGCTGCAGTGTTGAAAAGAGTAGAAAAATGAACTATTTACAACTTTCTGATTTCCAGGGACTTGCATGGAGTATTTGGGAGGATCCTTTAAAATAAATGAATCCTAATTTCATTCCCTGTGGGGCTATTAAGTCAGAGTTTATACCAGAGAAAGAGAGAGAAAATTTACTGATAGTACTTCTGGAGCAGGCACAATATAAATATTTACTACTATTACAGGCTTCTGTTGTGTGTGGTCTGTGGAAGTGTGTGTGCACCTATACACAGCAGCAGATGTGAKGCTAACTGAATTATTCCTGTCTGGCATGCAGACCAGGGATCCACCTTTCAATCCTTGGGTTGCTGTGTTTGAGATCAGGAACTGACCAGCTGTGAGTTCCYATGGACTTTATTTCCAAGTTTAACATACTAAATAGCAAATCCTTCTTTAGTTCATTGAATTAAATGCTTGTTTTGATGGTATCTGAGGGCATTTAGCAGCGGTGTGGTGCAAGTGTTTTCACTTTAGGTTTCTAAATAATAACAGAAACAACAGAGGTATTTGACTGTAATTCTCTTCAGGCAAGGATTAATACTTGCATTATTTCCTATGAGTATKGTTCCTCAATTTAGAAATGGAAAAAGTATATCACTATTAAATGTGATATACTATATTTTAGTATATTAGTGCTGTATTTTATGTATGCTATATTTTAGTAGTAATATTAGTATCCTCCTTATTTAGTGCCCTTTTTTTGGTGAAAATTTGATGCATGTATCATGTAAACATGGTGGTAGCATGGCAATCCTGCAGCCAGCATTCAAAGCTAGGAACAAAGTTGTCAATTACCATCTCTTCCCTCTCGTGGAAGAAACCTTTTCCAAAGAAGCAAATTTAGAAAGTTTTTAATAGACTAACTACTAAGGGTACTTTTTATAGATTGCTGACAGCCCTTCATTCCTCTGTGCATATTTTCAAAGTATTTTTCCTGTTACAGAATATAACATGCTACCTTGCCTCTATGAGTAACGCACTGGCATCCCCGAWAACTTTTTGCGATAAGGTAATCTAGAATTGCCCTTCTTCACACGCAGCCTGGGTACCTGCAGGGTGTGAGGGGCTCTGTYAATGTGGGAGCCACACTCCAGTTCTGTGCCTGTGCTCCTGCACTGCTGCAGAAGCAGCCGCGGATGCAGGGAGCTAAATTCTTGACTTGCCGTGGAGTATCAAGTCATGAAAAAATTCCCATGCCGAGATTCGCTAGAAGAGACCGTACTAGTGGACATGAAATTGTTCCAAGTATTAAAGACGAGCAAAAAACGTTAACGTCTCAGCCCAAAAGCAGCTGAGATGTGAACAGGAGCAAATGAAGCGAAGCAGGGCAGGAAGGCACTGAAAGGAGCAGCGCCGGCAAGGAGGATTCTCTGGGCTGTTCCCAGCGAGCGCCCCGTGCTGCCGGGGAAGCCGCCGGCAGCTCCTTCTCCAAGGCGAGAGGAAACACGCTTCTTGCACCGCTAGCAAAGGATCGATTCCAACATGCATTGGCAAAGCAGTGCTGTCTGCCCTGCAGCCTATACAGAGCGCCTGGCAAGATCCATACACTTCAACTTTATGCGGTAACAGTTCCCCCAAACTGCCTTGTGCCCATCTCTTGTTCTCTCTCTCTCTCTCCCCCACACACTCACACCGCACACAGAGGTGCACCACCGCCACCGAATCCSTCTCCGGGGCGTTTCCAGCGGTGCGGAAGGTGGATGGGGGAGCGGGCTCCCGCAGCATCCCGCGCACTGCGCTTCCCCCCGCCGCGCCTCCCCGCCCGGCTCACCCTCATGCTGGGTTTGCTGCCGCCGCCGCCGCTGCCTCGGAGAATTTCCTCTGAGTGGCTTTTCCTGGGATAGTCTSACCAGATACTCCTGCCTGCGTCTGACTGGGTGGAATTGAAAATCTCCACCTCCGCTAAATCAGTGAACGAAAGAGACAGACTGAAGAAGCCGGAGCGTCCCCTGTTTTCTGCCCCCTCCCCCAATTAAAACAAACCTCCAGCTCGAACTGAGCCCCTGCCAATGTTAAACACAAAGACTGCCTCCCGGGCACAGGGGAACACTGAGCTCTTTAACTCTTTCCTCGCTGAAACTGAGCTACTTTGCTGGATTCGTCTAAACCACAGGCTCGGGAACCCACTGCTGTAGCTGCCTGCTAATGGCACGTAGGATTCTCAGGAAGGTTCTGTATGTGATCCCACCAGACGGCAGAGGAGCCATGAGCAAACCGGGAAAATCTGATTAAATAAACCGCTTTTGCTTTGTATTTGCCCCAGGGTTGGCGACGATCAGAGTCTCTGAAACAATCAGTAAAACTGTGTGAGAGTTTCAAAAATGCTGAATCCGTAAACAAAAACTGCTCCTGAGTGAAAATTCTTTGATGCATCCAGGACACACCTTGCTAATMTATCTTAGTTGCATTTACAATGATAATAAGACGGCATTTTCTGTCATTCCTATGTTTCCTATTACTGTTCTTCTGTTGAGAGAGAGGTGCAAAAAATCTTGTGCAGATAAAGTGGAACGTTCGCTTATACCTAATGAGAAAAAATGCCAGTGTGTCAGAGGGAGCAGCTTGTGCTGGAAAGAGTTTCAAAATCCCTTTGTGCTAGCAAGTTWATGAAATTTTGAATCCTTTGTTGACCCATTGCAGGTTTTTGATTTCCTGGCAAGTTTCTATCTGCTTGTAACACAGAAATTATTTTCCAAATATATGAGGGCTTCTTCCAAATATAAAAACTCAATCTTCCTAAATAAAATGTAAAAATATGTAGTCCTAAACTAACAAAAGCCAACCAAAAGAGCAATAGAAAATGTGTTGCTAGTTTCTGGCAGAATTAAAATATCTGGTACTCAATCATGTAATAAATTGTTTTGAACTGTATCAGTTTTGTATATTTAAAAGTATAGTTATGTAGTATGTTTGAAATCATCTGGGTAATCTTGAACAGGAAAAACCAGCATCTGGATCGACTGGATTAGCAATACTTTACTTCTAGGAAGTAATTTCAGTTAAATGGAGTGTCAAAACACAGGATCTTTGAAGGAACATACATGTGCAGGCTGAGAATCACAAGAAGACTACTGTTAGCAGATTGGGTAGAAAGTTTAATTYAAAATCTCAGGTTGCTGTGAAGTTTAATAAGTGCTCATAAGCCACTAAATTTTGCATATACTACTAAAAAAATTCTTTACAGTTTGGTCATAGATACTTAGTATTAGTGATTTTCTTTGTCAAGAGTCATCTACATGGGTAACTTGTTGGAAAAAAACTTTTGAAGATCTGGAAAGGCTGTTGTTGAAGACTATGTGCACTTTGTGGAATGTTTTATTGAATGCAATTCTTAAATCACTTGTGTGTTCTCTAAACATTGTTAAGACCCARTTCATTTCCTGGGATCATTTGACCTTTATGTCTAAACAGAGTAGTAACAACAACAAAATAGTCYATTTCTGATCTCATTCAAACACATATTTACAAATGTATTTACTRTTAAATAAAATTAATTTAATGAAATAATCAAATTTATGATGCCATTAAAGATCTATTTCAAGAGAGCCTTTATTACCATTGTGAATACTTCTATTATTGCAAACCCACATAAAGAGCATTAGCTATAAGAAATTACTGATCTGTGTTCTTTGTTATTTTTACTGTCACTGATTTTTTTTTAAATGGACCTTAGCTTTGTCTTTAATCTTCTAGGTGTCTAAAGCTCAGTTGACATCTTGTCTTAAGATAAATTCAAAAAGTGTATTTAAATGTTCCTGCTTTTATGGTGTTCAGAAAAGCAACATGGAAAAAGAAATTTTCATGTATGAATTATGCAAAAAACTGCAGTTGCAAATGCAGCTGRCCTGAGCTACTAAGAAAAGTATGCRCTTCTTTACACCAAGATGTTTTCAGCTGTTAGAAACACTTTGAGCATCATTGTAGGACTGCTAYCCTGTGMGTAGAAGAGTTCTTGACTGAGGWCTCTGTGTACCAGTTTCAGCACAGTGAAAGTGTTTCCTCTGACCTCTTCGACTTGGTGTCTTCAACAAACTACTTAGCTTGTCTTGCATAACTTTASAGATTCAGAGTAAGGGCAATATATTCATCTCAGAAAATAACCAGTTGGGTTTTGCAACTGGAGTAAAAAAGATTATTGGCATTTTGTAAAGCTATTCATTTTCCTGAAGCCATCAGGTATTAGAAGGGAATACTTTCCTTTAATTGGATTTCAATGAATGTTGAGCAAATGCTAAGCCACTTACTTCCTCAGATTTGGTATGAAATAGGAACACATGTTCATCAGGTTGTGTAGTCCTAAATTGCATTATTGAGATTCAGAAGACCAAAATCAAAACCAGGCATTGTCTATAATTGGCATTTCCATAAGCAGTCAGTTGCTGTGYTTATAATCTGTAGCTTTTTCAGAAAATCAGAAGTTTTTCATCACAAAGAATGTAAATACCTAATTATTCTGCATTCTTTCACTAGAATTCTGATACAGTTTTTATCAGAAATAACACAAACAATAGAAAATAGGGGCCTCTTAGATAATTTGGAAAAATGCACCTGGATACTTTGCTTACAATACTGGGTAACTGTTGCCCTTTGAATTCCATATCTAGATCTAGTGAACATGAACTTAACAAATCCAAAACTTCTCATGGAAACATACTCATTTCAAAAACACTTTTTGGGCATGTTTCTCAACTTTTACTACCTCAGTTCAGTCAGAAGTTGCACCTCATTGAACAAAAAGAAGAAACATCCAAACCACAGGGACATTATCTGTTGTAGATTATCTGTTCTTCAACAGGAGATGCACCTATGCAACTGCTTTAGAAGAATTCTTGAGAAGAGCACCTACCAGAAAATGTCAATTAATTGAAACTCAGGGCTCATTAATTCCAGTGATCATTGAACCAGTTATTTGCTTCTGTTATGTAACATTTCTGTTTCCCAGCAGCTGCTTTATTTAAATTGTGTCTCTACTAATGCCATATCTATGACTCTATTTATGTACAAAGCACAAATAAATTCTGTTTCTGGCAAGTCTATATTGCTCCTCCCTCCCTTCTTGCCCTCTCCTTTCCTCCCTCCATCTCTTTTCCCCCTTTCCAAGTGTCTTTCATCTGTTTCCTTTATGTTAATAGAAAATATTGGCAATTTACAATATGAACTTATAATTCAAAGAGAATTATAGTGAGAATACGGTTGTATTAGTTTATTCTTAGAACTGGAAAGGTGTTTTTATTAGAACTACTGAAATATTCCTGCCCTTGTACTATGGGAACCTGAAGCTGGGATAGAATCAAAAGGGATAAAGGRTTGTAGTTTTAAGGACAACATTGATCATGGAGACAAACAATTAACATAGGAATGATTGCAGGAGCTACTGCACCCCAAAAGGGAATATTAGTCAGGACTTGTATATTGGGTGAATATAAATTTTGCAGAACCTTGATGGAAAAGTTTGAATAACTAGTGAGCTTCCTGGGCATTTAGTGTGCATATTGGAGAAATAACAATATGTATTGTAATTCCCTTCAATTACTGARCATTTCAGCTTCCTTTGAGGAGCATGAGGAGCATTTACCTATGATGCTAAATACAAAGACTAAGAACATTTCAGAAAATATTTACTGGGCRAGGCAATGTTGTTGGTCTTCATTTCCATGGATGAAACCCCTAATTTTTAAGCTCTGTATTTTAAAAATCTTCTTGATGGGAGGCAATAAAGAAGAGAGAACCAGACTCTTCTCTGTGATGCTTAATGAGAGAAGAGGAGGCAAAGGACGCAAGAAATGTGTTCTTGAAATAAAAGAGATTAAATTTGAATAGAGGAAAACCCACTTTCATTATAAGGGTCATCAAAGGGTGACACARGTTGCCCAGAGAGGCTGGAGAATTCCATCCTTGAAGATGTTCGAATCCCAACTGGAACAGTGCTGAGTAACCTGCTTTAGGTCTCTGMGCTCTGAGCTGGGGCATGGACTAGATGCTTTCTAACATCTCTTCCAGTCTCAAAACTCTGCAAATCTGGGATTCTGTGATTCAGATGAGACTTCCCTTATGTCAAGAGTATTTTGACTTGAGCTCTGGAATCATGGTGCTCAAAATTCTTGGAGTTACGTTGCTTGTATTTGAAACTGATGTGGTGTTGAATTGAACTTGATCTACACACACACACACACACACACACACACACAAGAAAGAGTGCTTGTAAGTTGATATCCTCTGGCAAGAATATTGTCCAAAAGAATAACGTGTGATGTTCATTGAAATATTTAAAAAAAGGTGTAATTTTTTAATGTCAGTTCTATACAGAAATAACTGTCCTCTTCTCTTTTGAGGGCAAGACAGCAAAATGAATGTCTGTAGGGAGCATTTGGAGATCTTCAGCTGTTCTCATTCTTCATCCCCATTGTTTCAGGCAGCCCTGAAACTGGCTGTGAGCTGAGGGAGTTCAAGGGATCTGCTCCAAAAAGACCTGTCTTGCATGGTGACAGATAAAAATGTTTCTACATAAACCCTTCAATATAAGTAAAATATATAAGTAAAGAATAATAAAATAGCAATATGTCACAGAAGATACTTGTTACATAATCATGCAATGAGTGATTATAAGCACACAAAAGAAAAAAATAAGAAAAAGGAAAAATAGATATAAGGATAAATTAAAATATGRTTTAAAAACAGAAAGAGGAAGAGAATGTATTAGATTAGAAAATCTTTCATAATTTACAAGAGTAAATGTCAATCTGTGTTTGAAGACAGAAGCCTGTGCAGAACACAAGTTCTGCCACAGAGGAATGCTGCTCTGCTGCCAGATGCATCTTTTATTATCTTAAGCACTAATAAAATTATCTGGATAAGATAGTGAGATATCAGAATGCCATTTTATCTTAATCTAAATAAGGTTAAAATGATTTCTATTGGCTACTCTGCAGTGAAGCTGTTTTTTCATGGAAAACCCTGACTCATCTCACTTCTTTCTAATGTTTGTATATTATCTAATTTTTTTGTTAGCCTAACTAAAACTATGTTGAAATAATCTGCTTGTACGTTTACTTTGATGCAGTAAAATCCCATTCTTATATTACTCAATATTAAATGGTTAGCATAAACTATTCCACATATTATCTTACTGTAAGCAATATTTACAGTGTAG